ATCATAGCTTGCTATAGTTGAAATGATAGGACGGATTCTGTAAGAAGGATGTGCAAATGGTAGTTCTGCATGCTTTGCGGGATCCCTTTGCAAACACGCTCTGTGAAAGGGCTGCAAACCAAGAGCCTGTGGTTTCCGGGCTAAAAAAAAAAATTTAAAAAAAAAAAAATCACACTCAATATAGGCACGACTGATTTACCACCGGTGTCACCAAGCGGAGCACAGGACCTGGTACCTGCCATGGTGTGCACCGGGGTGGCCCAAGGGAGGAGGATGGATGTGGGGGGGGGGATTCACAAAACCGACTGACACCCAGGCTGGGACGTGCCGCCCAGCAGCCCGTCCCGAAACTGCAGAATAAAAGTTTCCCCAGGACTCAGCCCCGAGGTCGTAGTGCGAACGCGTCTTCGGCAGAGCCACCGCTACCCACTTGCCAAACCGCCAGCTCCTGCCGGGAATTTTTTGGCAGGGGGATGGCTGGGAAGCAGAGGATGCTCTTTTCATGAAGGGCCATTTGTGGGTGCTCCCCACACCTGCAGGGTCAGGGAGGATGAACCCTCGCCAGGGAGCGAGCGGAGAGGAAGAAATGTGGCTTCTCTGCGCGGAGGATGGAGCTATTCCACCTCACCGCGCATCTCAGGACTGCTCGTTAAAGGCGTGTAGTGTGAACAGAGACCCTTCGGAGATCTTGGGCTGGGCAAGCTTCTTCTGAACTAAGTCACAGTATGGAATAGAGGAGGTGAAAATAAACTGGTATCGAAAAGAGAAAAAAAAAGCAACTCTTACAAACCAATCCCAGATCTTGACTCAGTGCTGTTTCTCATATATAGTGCTATACAATTTAGTGATGAGTTGTTTGGGTTTCTTTTCTCTCGCAGGTATTGGAAATCTTCTTAGTTAAAAACAAAAAAAACAACTAAGATGGCCAGCTTTCCAAAAATCCCTCAGTGTTCATCGGGCTATGAACAATTTGGCGTTCACTACAACATGAACACTCAAACCAATTGCACATCCAGAACTCCGGCACTTCTCTTTGTTTGTTCGGCTTCTGTATTTTTTTTTTTTCTTTCCTTTCTCACTGTCGCTTTTGATTTAGTTGACCACCACCCCTTTCATCCAAATGTCGCAAGTTGAAAAGACCACAGAGTAAGACTTTACTGGTCGGGCAAGAAAGTCTCTCCCTACATTCTACTGTCTGATGAGATTTGAGAGCAGCAGGTAGTTGCTGTCAGCAGTCATTTTTTTGCAAAAAAAAAAAAAAAAAAAAATTTTAAAATAAAATACAACACCCATCCAATTTTTCCGAAGGTCTACACCATGTTGTGATGGTTATTTCGTTCAATGATGTCCACAGGTGAAAGAATCTCCTTTCGGATGGGTGGCGGAGGCAGGCAAGTCTTTGTCTTGGGCTTGAAGAGATCTGAGACGTAAAACACCTGTAGGAATAAGTGAAAAAGGCAAACTTAGCCACATTGGGTGATGCTTTGTTAAAAAATTTGGCTTACAGAATACATAGATATCTTTAAGTTGCAAATATAGCATTTTCTGTTCTGCATGTCGGTGTTCAATAGCTGTGAAACCCCAAGCGCCTGCTACCACCTTTCTGTATGATACGGAAAAAGGCTCAGACCTCACAAAACGCAGCGTGGAAACATTACAATACAATTTCATTTCTCACTGCATAATCGCTAAGTGCAATACCCAAACCTCTGCTGAACGGGTTGAAAAGCCAGGAAACAGATACACAGCTCACACTCCAACAAAATCCAAAGGTCTCCAAAGGGCTGGCCTGACTCACGGTGGGAGGTTTTAGGGATGGAGTTGGCGTGAAACAATTCATTCAACCAGACATCAGGTATGTAATTAAAAGCTCTCAAATCAAAGCTGCATCATTAAAAGTTATCGGCAGTGAGTCACCGGTGAGCGATGCTCTCCTGTTGCCCCACCAAGGCACCGGTACAGAGCTGGAGTCTGGTCCTGAAGCCAAAGCCTAAGGAGAGGAGAAGCTATTCCTGACTACTCCTTCCTAAATATCCCGTGATGTAACCCCTCTCCCGGATGTGAAAAAGCCAGCACTTGGCAATTTCAGGAGGTAACAACACAATAAGAAACAAAGCGCTGGGAGGAAACTTCCACATCCTCCCTTGGCAGCCGCTGCACAAAGCTTATCGCTCCTCCAGGACCGGGGCACTTTCTCCCTTGCCAAACCCCAGCCCTGAGCCAGAAGGGAAAAGAGTCAGACAGCATGGATCCTCTGGATGGGGCGAAAAGTGGTGAGGACTTGTCATCTTGTTCACTGGCACCAAAACCCCAAACGTTAGTCCTATTACTAACTGCCTCTGCCAGATGGAATTTGTTGGCTCATCTCAGAGTCGATAATTCGGATCGAGCCTTAAGTAATTTGGACCAAGCATTAAGCACCAATAATTCAGACCAAGCTGTGCAGGAGGAGCAGTACACGGTTGTAGGAATTAGCAGCACATTCGAGTTTTCTCCCACAGTCCTTGGATGCAACATTTAAGCAACAAGATAAATCGGGGGGGAAAGACCAAACAAAAGAGGAGGGGGGGGGGGCGGGGGAAGAAAAAAAGTCCAGGGTGCTCAAAGGAATAATATTAAATTAGCACATCCAGGCTGGATAACACAGGGAGGGAGCAAAGGTTTTCCCTGTCTGCATCTCCACATTTTTTAGCTACCCAGAGCCCTACACAGCAGGTCTAGTTGTCCTTGGAAACAACTTTTGCAAGTCCCTATCAGCACGGGCAGATAAGGAGCTGAGCTGCACAGTGAACCTGCTGTAAGCGAAGGAATAATATTAAATTAGCACATCCAGGCTGGATAACACAGGGAGGGAGCAAAGGTTTTCCCTGTCTGCATCTCCACATTTTTTAGCTACCCAGAGCCCTACACAGCAGGTCTAGTTGTCCTTGGAAACAACTTTTGCAAGTCCCTATCAGCACGGGCAGATAAGGAGCTGAGCTGCACAGTGAACCTGCTGTAAGCGGCAATTTACTCCTGCAATTATAACTGGGGATGCAGGAAGCTGAGCTGTTGTTGCTCGGCTTTTATTGCTTCGTGGAAAAGCAGGGAAGGAGCTGACATATAAACTTGTTCTTTTTTCGGTGTACGTGTTGGTGTCTGGCTGCCCAGTTGTATAATGGAGCTGATAAAGTTGTTTACGTGGCATCCAAGTGGCAGTATTTGTCCCTTTGGTTAAATAACAGGATCCAGCTGAACCCGCCGGGGATCGCAAGCTGGAGTCTGGCCTCTTGCTGCAACATCAGAGTGTCAAAGCACATTCAACTGCTCCGGCAACGGTTTTCTTTTGGGTCTTTAATAACTGTAAAACCCCCATTCAGCTGGCTTGGCGCATTTCTGATGCCACCTCGCTCGCTTGCCCACCTCCAAGAGCTGGATTCAATCAAAAAGATGTCCAATTCCTGCACCGAGATAGCCATGACAAATCAATTTATGGGAGGAGACTGCCGAGTGCAAGAAGCATATGGGGATTACACCGAGTCTGGTCCTTATTTTGGACAGGAATGAGTTATGGTGGAGTGTCATCTTGGGTATTTTAGCTTTTACTGTGCTGCTCACTGCTTCTCAGGGTTTCATTCAGAGACTGGGTAAGAGGTTTCATTTCTCTTTAAACTGTATTTCACTTGAACATGCCTGGAGGTTATATAAACACTTATAGGAATCATGAAATGTGATCTTTGGGGCTTAAAACAGTGTGTTAAATCCTTCTAATGCTTGAACTGTTTAACACAAAAAAGGACTAATAAACGTGCAAAGTTTTTCACTTGGATTAGCTCCATTTCCTGTAGAAGGTGCTCTCCACCCATAAAGAAAACTTGACAGCAGAAGACTGAGCGTACATTATACAAAGTAAGCCAATATCTTATATTGCCACTTAATTCCTATTCCTCTTCGTTACATTGAAGAAATCTTTAATCACATACAGAGAGGTTAAAACAACTCATCTGAGCTAACCAGAGCAACACCAGGAGCATGTCCTCCTGACACCTCCTTGTTTCGCTCTCCATCAGACGGGACATAAACTACACAACACATAGCAGCCTGCCTACAACGTGCGTAGAAACTATTTCCATTTAAGAAATCCTCATCGTATTTCACCCTGGATGCTAGTCCAGATGTTTCATCAGCTGGAAGCGCTTGACACTAATGTCTTCTGCTTGTTATTTCAGGCGCGGAAGGACAAACGTGTCTGCAGCAGCACAACCTGGATTTAAGCTCCAGCAGCCCTCGGAGATGAAACCCACAATTGGTTTCTGCTGAAAATTACAACCTGATAACTATGGTATTTTAACAGCCCTTGACGACCGTCAGAGCAGACTCATGAAGGCTTTGCTGGGGGAAGGGGTGTCTGGGAGCAGCCAAGGTGGGCTGGAGGTAATGAGTCTCCAGGTCTCTCTCTGCTTCAGAGCATCCCGTGTGTGAGAGCTGGATCCCAGAGCTGGGCAAGGACCTCCAGGATATACCAGTAATTCCTCTGGCATACCAGTAATTTTAGCAAAAAGCTGCTAAACTCTACATTTGATGCCAACTCTGGGGAGTTTTGGGGCAACAGTTGGACTCTATGGTCTTAAAGGTAATTTTCAACCTGAATTATTCTATAATTCTATGACTCTTCCCTTGTCCCTTGCTACCTCTACCAGCCTCTTCTGGGCAACAAAAACATATTGACGGCTCTTTGCAAGCTGATGAAACAGGACAAGGGCTGGGTTTAAACCCTGCCCAAGTCCTAAGTTGCTGCCCAAGATGTCCCCAGCCACCAAGCCATGCCTGCAAAGGGTGCAGAGACAACTGCCCCCTCCACCAGCCAGCTGAGAGCAGCGCAGGTTGCCCCAGGCTCGCAGACAAACCCCAGCCTGCCTGGGAAACTCTAGGCAGCTGCTTCCTATGTCGGTTTACCTCGACACAGGAAAACCAGCCCAGCTCGGCCACAGCCTCCCCTTCCCAACACAGCTTCCAGCTGCTGGAGGGCCAGGAGGGGACGGCCAGCCCTGCCGCTCATCCCAGCCAGGAAGCATCCGGATGCCCATCCCGAGCATCCAGAGAGCTATTGTCTTTCTGCAACCACTGCTGGGATCCAGGGATCGATCTCTGGTCCCTGCTCACCCTATATATTGCTGTTATCCCACCTCCCAAGCAGAAAGGCAGATGAAGAGGTTAATACCTCCTGGTAAAACTTCCTGGTGATGTGCACTTGGTGCCTTGACAGACCCACACAATACAAATTCAGGCACTGGGACTGAGACGAGCTGCTTCATTGCTCCTCTCATTGCCTACGGCTGAGTGCTGGGCTAGGAGAAGATTTCCAGGATTTGGAGAAACAGCCTGACAGTATCAGTGTGAAGGACACAGGACCTGTAACGCCGTTGCTGAGAGCAGGCGTTACAGCAGCAGCATGCATCTGTGCCACACCATTTCTCCAGTTTCCCTTCTCTGAATTTGCTGGCCCCACGTGGGACATTGGCATCAGGCAATGACAAAACCCAACAGCTACTGCTCAGAGACTTAATAATGCTCCATAAAAACTCCCCGACAATGACATTTTTGTCTTGGCTTTGGAATATTATCAATGAGTGGAAAGTACATAAATAACCTATTTTCTCTCCTTGCAAAAATATAACGTTAGCAAACTTAATTCCTTGCCTCCAGGGCTGCTTTACTTTTAGACTTTTTAGGAAAAAAAAAAAAAAGAAAAAACCCAACCTAAGAAAGTGGTAAGCTATTAAATTCTTGCTTTTAGGAGTTTATACAGAGACAGAAACAACCACAACCCCCAGCCCCTTTGTTTCTATGCGAGGCAGCCCCCCCGACCCTGTACCCCCCACCCTGCCTACTTTAAACATCAACACGTGTCACTTCGAGTTACAGCGCTGTGCAATCAGGTCACTCTTTGGAAAGCAAATTGCAGGAGAACAAGCCTGGCAGCCATAGACAAGCAGGCACACCTTTTGTTGGCCGTTTTCTCACGAGCCCTTTTGCTACGTTAAAAACCCACCACCAAACGAAGGCTCCCTGCCTCCCCTCGCTGGGCAGGCACCAGCTCCCAC